AAAGAAGTAATACAATAAAATTTTAAAAAGCTAAACAAAATATATTAACATATAAAAGGTTTATTTACAAAGATAAGTTGCATTGCTTCATGTTACTGACACAATTTTTGGCAATTGCCACACATAACGCTGACAAAATGATGCAATATTGGTTTCAAGATTCAAGAAACACCTTGATGTGTAACGTAATACCTGATGTGTCAGTTATGTTGGAACAGGCAAAAACTGACAAAAACAAGACAACAAAGTGATCTGAAGTTCAGTTTTTAGAAACTGAACCTTGAAATCTCCAGTATACCTTGTACTTAATTTATAGAGTTCAGTTTATTTATATAACTCTAATTCACATTTGCATACTTAATAAAATGACAATTAGTAAATAGACTGAACTTATTTAGCACTTTATGAAGTCCCACACATCTGTGTTCTATGACATTTCTCAATGACAGAAATTTCAACAACAATAACAAGAAAAAAAGTGTCACAAGTTGTTGCTAGACTGAGACACAGTAAATGTTAAATGGGCTGAATTTGTACAGCACATCAATCCAAGGACAAAGCACTTTACACTTCAAACATTCACCCATTCACACACTGATGGTGGTAAGCTACACTGTAGCCACAGCTCTCCTGGGACTCACTGACAGAGGAGGGGCTGCCATGCACCGGTGCCACCAGACCCTCTGACCACCATCAGTAGGCAAGGCGAGTGAAGTGTCTTGCCCACGGACACAACAACTGAGAAAGCTGGACTGGGGAATATAAGCAGCGACCTTCCAGTTACAGAGCAACTCCCCTCACCACTCTGCCACAGCCGCCCAGATTGTGTACAGTCTTTACGCCAAACTTCAGTTTTGTTTACACCCCATTTACCATTCATGCAGATGTTTCTTTTTCTTTAATAGACTGATCGTTTATGGTTAGACTTACGTTCCTTTTAGTTTGACGTTTTATTTGAGGCAATGCTTGTGGTGTGTACCACAAGTCTTCAGTGAGGAAAGTGTGAAACTTCTTCAAATGAAAGCAGGCTGACACCATCCAGAACGGTTATTAAGAAATAACTGATTCATGTCTGATGACAGCAGTTGGGTTTATGCAATTTACAAAAGAGACAATGTGAAAACAGATTTTCTGTCTACCTTTGTGACAACACAATTTATGGACATTCTTGAAGGTAACCAAGGGGGAAAACCAGTTTTTAATCTTTTAGATTTGATTGAAAAATGTAAAGAATGTAAAGACCACAACTCTATGTATTGTCACTAAGGTAATTAGTTGTTCTTCAGGGCTGTGCATGGTGCCTCATCTTATCTCCTCTCGTATTACTAAGATGAATCAGAAAACCTGTTTCAGGGATTTTGTTTTTCAGAAAAATCATAATTAACAGACCTCTGCACTTGATTTTTAAGTGACTGATCTAATTGATTTGCTTTTGGCTCTTTTCTTTGTTGTTCTTTGTACAATTAAAGTTAATTTTCACATAGTTCTAAGAAAAAAAAACATCTGCCTTCTAAGAAATTTCTCAATGATGGACATTTCAACAACAACAAAGAAAAAAATTTCACAACTTGTTGCTGGACAGGTTGTTGCTCGACTGGGGTGCAGTAAGACAAATGTTAAATGGGCTCAACTTGTATAGTACTTTATCAAGCACTTTACACTACAGTCATTCACCCATTCACACACTGATGGTGAACTACATTGTAACCACAGCTGGCCTGAGGCACACTAACAGGGAGGAGGCTGCCATAAACTGGAGCCACCAGACCCTCTAAACAATAACAGGCAAGGTGGGTGAAGTGTCTTGTGCAAAGACACAACAGCTGAGACAAGAGAGCAGGGCTTCAAACCGGCAACTCACCGGTTACAGGCTGACTCCCCTACATCTTTTTACCATCCCCCCCACCCCTCGAAGATAACAAGTCACTTCATTTAACAACCCAATTTCCATAAATGATTTGTAAGTACACCCTCAATAACTCTGTAATTACCTTGTATTTACCATTCAAATATACCCCCACAAAAGTACCCTGCAATTACCTTACAATACCCCAATAAGTAAATCTCGTAAATACTCTGTATGTACGCATGGCAAGTAACCCATTTGTCACTATGCGTTGTACATACCTGTACACACACACACACATATATATATATATATGAAGAGGCTTAGTGAACTTGAAGTTGAAGACATTAAGTTCTTTTTCTTTGCCTGATTGTGAAAGTAAAAGTTGAAGAAATTTCATTGAATAAATGCAGTTTCTATTTTCTTATCTTTCTAAACTGTGCTATATGCTACACTGCTTTAGTGTTGTACTTATTTTAAGAAACTGTCATTCTTTTCTTACATCAAGAAGAAATATTGCTGTTATGATCTGTGTGCAGAGCTTAAATGTCCCAAACTTGTATTAATTATTTCAGTCACCATTTTAAATTTAGCTTTGAAAACGTCAGGGGTGGACAGATCCAGGCTGTAACTCTGTAAACGAGACGGGAATGCAGAAATGACCCATTCTTAGTGTGATTGCAGTGAAGCCATCAGTCCCTAAGTGCTGGGTGGACGGGGGGGAGGTGGTCGGTGGGGAGGTGTCCCTGCACTGCCTGTCTGCTGAAGGCTCCACGCCTTTACAGTACGAGTGGAGGAGGGAAAGTCAGGAGCTGCTGCCTGCTGCTGCCTCACAGAGTAAGTCTGACCTCTCTTGACATCATCATGCTACTGCACATCAAAGTGTGTGTGTGTGTGTGTGTGTGTGTGTGTGTGTGTGTGTGTGTGTGTGTGTGTGTGTGTGTGTGTGT